ATTACTCTTAGAAGTGGTAAAATAATTAACAACACACCTTCACGTAAGGAAGTTGAAAAACCTAAGAATAATGATGAACTTAACATGTCCAACTTGAATGAATCAACTGAATATCATTTTCCTGCTCCTTTTCCTCAAGCTTTAAATCCTCCAAAGAAATTGAGTCAAAATTCTGAAATTTTAGATGTCTTTAAAGAGGTTAAGGTGAATATTCCTTTGTTAGCTGCTATTAAACAGATTCCATCATATGCTAAATTTTTTAAAGATTTGTGCACAATCAAAAGAAAGCATCAAGTGAAGAAAAAGGCCTTTTTAACTGAACATGTGAGTGCATTGTTACAATATAAAATTCCTCCAAAATATAAAGACCCTGGAAGTCCTACTCTTTCGTGTGTAATTGGAAATAATTTTATTGATCGTGCATTACTTGATTTGGGCTCCAGTGTAAATTTATTGCCTTATTCAGTGTACTTGCAGCTAGGTCTTGGTGAGCTTAAACCTACAAAGGTAAATTTGCAATTGGCTGATCAATCAGTAAGGACACCGCGAGGGATTATTGAAGATGTGTTGGTCCAAGTGGACAAATTTTATTATCCTGTTGATTTTATTGTTTTGGACACTGCACATGTTTCAAATTCTGATAATCAAATTCCTGTGATTTTAGGACGTCCTTTCTTGGCTACTTGTGATGCTAACATTAATTGCAGAAGTGGAGTCATGAAACTTTGTTTTGGAAATATGACTATAGAAGTTAATGTTTTTAATGTTTATAAACAGTCATCTGGGGAGGAAGATGAACCTGAATCTGTGAATTCTATCTCAACTTTATCGCATGATCAATTTGCGAAAAGTAGTGTTGTTTCTTGTGCAGAAAAATTTCAAATGAATTATAATGGTTCTAATTTAACAAGAAATTCACAAATTACTGAAATTGGTTCATTATTTGATGCTTTACAGGTACAGGAAGGGATTGGCTGGAAACCCAAAATTGACAAACTTCCACCTTTATATGATGAGCCTATGGTGTCAAGTGTAAATGAGGCTCCTAAAGTGAAAGTGAAATTGTTCCCTAAGTCTTTGCCGAACACTAAAGTTGACACTTCTCCTGTGGTATCCATTTCTAAACCTAATTATTTTCAGGGAGAAAATTATTCAAAGACTTTTCAGCATTTAGGTGACTTCTATCCCACTCGTTATAATTTCGTTCCAACATGTCTCTCATATTTTTCTTTTATAACACATTGAGGACAATGTTTCATTCAAGTTGGGGGGAAGTGGAATTATTTTTGGCAATTTGTGTGTTTGTAAATTTTATTTTATAAAATTAAAAAATTAAAATTAAAAAAAAATTAAAAAAAAAACCTTCATGCTTGTTGTCATCAAAACAGACTTGCATTAAATTGAGATTTGATATTCATGCATGAGTTTAAAATTGAGAACACTTGAGCGATACGATAACTAATCCAGTCTTTAGTCTTTTTCATTTATTTCTACTTAATGAATGATTTATGAGCTAAGCTTTGCAAAATTCACACTCACACTAATGCGCTTGAGAAGATAGAGTTTGAGATTGATTGTATTTATCTTTGTTGTCTTAAAAAAATAAAAAAAATAAAAAAGAATAAAAAGAGAACTTTCACTTAGTAACCGGGCCTCTTGCCTAATCAGTAGTGAGTGTTCGCGTCAAACCGTGAAGTTCTTAAAAAA